CACCAAGTGGTTACTGAATCTGCAAGAATAAGAAAAAACATTATTAAGAAGAGAGAACAATAAAAGAAGAGGAATTAAGAAGACAGAAGATAACGATTGACATTGCATTTAAATTTTTGAAGATCAAATTTGGCTGGAAAGCAAGAGGGCGGAAGAGATTTCCATAAGCGAGAAATGCGAGAAAAAAAAACTGTTAGCATAGAACTTAAATTTACATCTATCCAATTCAAGTGTAAAATTCTGGGACTTTACCACCAATCTACAGTCTGAAGTTATTATGCAAATCAAATAAACCTCAATAACTCTAAAATTTCTGAGCCAATATTTGTCAAATTTAAACTCGTCCATTTTCACCCTTAGTAAAATATGTAATTAAATTTTCTGCCATTTTAATGATAAGTTTTTGAGGTATTTGGAATTTACGATAATGGACTGACTGAAGTTAGTATGCAGATAAAACTAATATTATCTTAAGTCCTATGAAATCTAATAAAAACTATTTTTCATTTTTGTCCTTAATATATATTGAAACATGAGTAAAGGGAAGGATCTAACAACTGCTGGAAAACAGTAATTAAAATTATTGAGTGATGGAATGTCCACATTGGAGATATGAAAAGAGCTTTATCGAGATCATTGAACGATAAAGAAGGCTGTTGAGAAGTTGAAGCAAAGAAAAAGGCTTTAAGAACTTGCTTTCTTGAGATGAACGTAAACGAAAGCGAGTTATATTAAAACAACCACTTTTGATCAGCGCTCAGATCTTTGAAAAGGCTGGAATTGGGCCAGTCAAGAAGGACAAAGGGTGTAGAATACTTTGTGAATTTGTGGGATCTGTAAAAAAATCTCCTAGGCAACCTCCTCTCACTTAAACAAAGATCTTAAAGCGTCAAAATTGGGCCAAGAAATACATGCAAATTGACTTTTCTCAAGTAATTTTCACAGATGACTCTCGAGTGACATTTGATGGACGATGGGCCAAAGGATGGATTTTATCCAATTCAAACGTGCCTGTGGTTAAAAGAAGGCAACAAGGAGGCGGTAGTGTTATGATATGGATTGCATTTGTCGACCAAACCATTATTCGACCACTCAAGGTTGATGAAGGTGTGAAACTGAATAGTACTAATTAATGCGACTTTCTTTGCATGGTACAAGTACAAGTCTTGCAGTTTCAAAGTGAAGTATGTATTTATGCACGACAATGCTCCTTCTCATGTATCTAAACTTACCCGTGAATTCTTTGAGCATAAAAGATTTACAGGAGAGAAGATAATGGAATGGCCACCATGAAATCCTGATCTGAATCCCATCAATCTATGTTCAATTGTGAAGTTGAAATTATATGAATATGGCAAACAATAAAACAGCTATAGGAAACAATTAAAACTAGCATGTCGGACATTGAACATACTGAAACAAAAAAAAAATTAACAAAATCAATGGATAATAGATTACTGGCTTTTATTGAGAAGAATGGTCACTATATTAAAATATAAAGGATTCAAAGACTTTTCATATGTGTTTGTTATTTGTTCTATTATAGGTGTTGATCAATTTTTGGTGATTTTATTACGTTTTTATTGAAGTAAAATGTGATTAATTGGTTTTGCCTAATAACTTCAGACGGCAGTTATTTTTTTAGAATATACCAAATAACTCGAATAACGTCAATAAAACATATTGATAGTGTTAAGGGGTCCACCCCTTTTTCATACAAGTGGACTCGCCTAGTGTGTACTTGTACTTCTGCCGGTGAATACCCGGGAGTGATACAGTGAGACAATGATAAAGTGAGAGTGTGAGGTAACCGCTTTGTAGGAGTCACAGTTGCGAGCACGTAGACTCAGAAGGAAGTCATACTTCGATACTGAATTTCCCAGACTGTATATATATTATTATTGCTACTAACCGCATTTCTGGATCTACTAATCGTATTACCAATTGTATTGTTACGCCAATACATTTATTTGCTATATTTCATTCCTGCGTTTCTCATTCATTTGAGACCAGATTTCATCCCGGAATTCACAACAGATACTACCTAAAATTTTAACTCAGGCTTTATTTTGACATCTAGATTAATTGTTTAAACTTTGACATATTTTTTTAAAACCTAATTTGAATTACTCAAATTTATATGATTTGCTTAACTTCAGACAGGGTGGAGTACTGCGCTTAAATTCATAAATTCTAAGAACCATAAAGAAAAGTTTAGCAGAACAATTTCCATGAATGTATTTATAGAAAAAAAGCACAAGGAAGCTACAATAACATTGTAGATTCTTTGAATTTTATCAAGAATTTCTAAATGCATACTAGTAGCCCCAGACCATACGTAGCAGCAATATTCAAAGCATGGGGGAGGATGGCAGCCTTATAAATATGTAAGATAGATTCTAGAAAGAAAAATTGTGAACCAAATTTCTTTGCCACAGACCTAGTAATTGATTAAACCGAACACATACCTTTGAATATGAATTGGATATCTTTCGGGTTTCTGCACTTCTTTTGGCCGAGATTCGACAATCGGCCAAATTTAGGTCATCATCAGTAATTTCAGGAGTTGATATTGTTGAAGGCATGTGTTGCATCATTGGTCAGAAGATCTTCACCCTGAAAAGTGGGTGCACTATTTGCTCATAAGTGTGTATGACTGGATCATTAGCCAAAATTTTTCTTCGGTGGGACCAACACTTGAAGATCTCACACTTTCCTTTCAATTGTAGTTCAGTCAATGAAAGGTGAAAAGATATCAAAAAAGTAAAAGAAGGATAAAGAGACTGGAACTTTGCCAATGGCGATAACACACTTTCCAGCTTCAGTCACAAAGTTACGATAAGATTTTGGCAAACGAGGAAGCTGAAAAATATTTAAAAAAACCGCCTCCCTCTTTATCCCTCTCTATTTTTTCATAGTGTACACACACACACACACACACACACACACACACACACACACATATATATATATATGTGTGTGTGTGTTTGCATGTGTGTGTATCTATGTGGGTGTGCTAATTTATCTGTGTGTGCGCATGCGTATATATATATATATATATATATATATATATATATATATATATATATATATATATATATATAAAAAACGTGTGCATATTTGTATGTGGAGGGTGGGAACTATTAAACAACTCCTCGATTCCTTCTTTATCTTTCTTTTTTTTCTTTCTTTCTTTCTCTCTCTCTCTCTCTCTCTCTATATATATATATATATATATATAGTGATAATATTAGTGGTGGTATGAATTTTTACAAAAGGAGAAATATTTTCTGTTTCCTTTTGGATTTGAAGGTTTGAGGAATAGGGCAATTTTTTACGACCCTAATGAAATAAATATTACCTCATGAAGGTTTAGTGTTTGCGCCTTTTATAAATATATATATATATATATATATATATATATATATATATATATATATATATATATATATATGTGTGTGTGTGTGTGTGTGTTTATGTGTGTGTGAGTGTATGTGTGTGTATATACATGTGTGAATATATGTGTGTGTGTATATATGTTTGAGTGTGTATATATGTGTGCGTGCATACATATATATTTGTGTACATCTATCTGTGTATATATATGCTTTTGTATATATATATATATATATATATATATATATATATATATATATATATGTCTCTGTGTGTGTGTATATGCTGTGTGAATATATATATGTTTGTGTGTATATATATATGTTTGTGTATATATATATATACGTTTTTCTGCGTATATATGTGTGTGTATACATATGTGTCTGCATATATATGCGTGTGTATATATATATGTGTGTATACATATATTTGTCTGTATATATGTATATATTTGTGTGTCCGTATATATATGTGTGTATGTGTTTGTGTGTTTGTGTGTGTGTGTGTGTCCACAAAAATAGCATGCCCATGAAACAAACCATTCTAATTTAAATAATCAGTCCTCAAAAACCTAGCTTTGTCTTGACCACAAAATGGCACATGTGGTTAAATAAATCTATTTACACACATCTAAATATTATTGTTGAAATACATATTGGGGTGGAACCACATTTCGTAACGTTTTAAGTGAATTTCAACAATGATATTTAGAGATTTGTAAATAGATTTATTTAACCGCATGTGCCATTTTCTTCCACTACTTTTTGGCATCTTTTATGTAGCTTCATGATTCTGTCCTCTCAGAACTTGACATGTTTCTCGGTAATGGGATGGTCTTAAGTAGTTTTTACTGTAGTTTTTTTACTGTAGTAATCCGAAGTTGAAAGATCAAGGTTCGCCTATCGCCAGGTTCACACTTTTCCTCGGTCTTCTGAAAAGGTGTATGGGCTTATAACTTGTTTGCTGTTTAGCATCTGGCTTCAGGTTCCGTCTTTTTCTTTCTTCTTCCGGTGGCTCCTTGAGTCTTGGTGGCAATATCTCTTTGCTTTTGGTGGTGCAGTTTTTACGCTAATGCAAAAACTGGTTGGGCAATGTCAAAAAAATGGACAGGTATGACTGTACCAGAATGGCTGACGGTTGCCGTTGACAGACCGTTGTGGTAAAAAGTTAGTATGGCTTCTGCATTCGAATCCGTCCAACGATTACAAAAGTCAAGGGAATGATTATATATATATATATATATATATATATATATATATATATGAGAAAGAGAGAGAGAGAGCGAGATAGAGAGAGAGAGAGAGGTGAGGTAATTGCTAAGATATTTATTAAACGTGGAAAATTTTAAAAAGAGCATACGAATTTGTGATACCTTTAAAATCAGCGTTTGAATCCTAGTTTCCTTCTCAGCTCGAACACCAAACACTGGCACCAGCAGCAGCAGCCACAAAATAAGCATATGTGTGTGTGTGTGTGTGTGTGTGTGTGTGTGTGTGTGTGTGTGTGTGTGTGTGTGTGTGTGTGTGTGAGAGAGAGACAGACAGACAGACAGACAGAGACACACAAACAGACAGACAGAGACACTGACAGACAGATAAATAAACTGGGAAATAAATGAATAAATTGTCTGAGAAAGAAAGAAAGAAAGAAAGAAAGAAAGAAAGAAAGAAAGAAAGAAGGACGGAGTTTCGATAGACAGAAAGAAAGCAACATGTGTGTTTATGGATATGTGTGTTTCGGCGTGTCCTTTGCAGATCTACGTATAGATATTCTAATTTTAATTTCCGCCCAAATTTAATCAACATTTTTTAAAACATAATTGAGCAACTAATGAGACAGTCGTTTAGAGAGTCAACTTCCCGCTCAATCGATATTTGAATCAATCAATATGGAAGATGCAATTTCTAACGGACCATCTCGCCGAGTCATTCCGATTTGAATACGTTCACAGATTATGATATTATTTATAAGCCATAATCAGAGCAATCATGGCCAGATTAATGAATGTGGCTTGATACAACGTCTGCTCTAGAAGTATATTGTTCAGCTTGTATTCACGTTGTGAATTACTCATTTGTTGTCATCTCGCATTAGGTTCACCAATTTGTTGCCTATTGTTGGCTGTTTTACTCAGAACCTGTAGCTGCCTCTGCTTGGTGTAGCTGTAAACATAATATTACAATGTCTGCTCCAAACAAGAGGTCATTGTTTTGTTATTCTGTTTGCTAAACAATGTTTTTATCCTTTGTTTGTTCAATATTAATGTTGAAAGCTGATCAGGGTAAGGTTTATTAACTACTAGCAGTGGAGCCCGGCGTTGTCCGGGGATGTAACAGTAAGAGATAGATCAAGTATCGACCATCATAAAGACTGAAAAATAAAATTGACAAAGATTATTGCTTAAGGTTGACGGACACGCATGTCTTAAATAGTTTTTTTGTTTGTTTTTTGTTGTTTTTTTTACGAATTGGTCAAACCCAAACTCAAAGAAAAACATTGTTTTCAATCGTTATGAGTCTACCGATTGAATAGAATTTTATTATAAACAATTGTCTTGTAAATGGATTTTTTAAAGCATTCTGAATGTAAAAATAAAGAAAAAAGTTTGCAAGACATTAAGAAACACTACCTGCCAAAAAAAGTGAAGTTTTGTTGAAATCTGTTGAAAAATGTAGGAAATCCGATCCGATATATAAACGAACACACACACACAACCTGGGTTTTATAATAAGTATAACTCGATATGAGTTGTCCCCCTTAAATTTTCGCGATGCCTCTTAATCGTGTTTTCAAATTGATTTCGTTCAAAAACAATTGTGTTTTTCCAATTTTTGGCGCTGTCAGAACCGCCGCAAGGTAATTTTACGTAGTCCTGTGAAGTTTTGTTGAAATCGGTTGAAAAATGTAGGAAATCCGATCCAATATATAAACGTACAGACACACACACACACACACATCCTGGGTTTTATATTAAGTATGATGTAGAGTATAGGATCATAATTTTACCACGTTATGTGTACTGATACGTTTTTCATAGAAAGTAGGATTTTTATGAGATGGAGATGCCATCACCACAAACACCGTTTTGAATTCAGAGTTGACCTTCTCTTAGACTAGAGCGCAATAAAAGTAGAGAACTAATTTCTATTAACCACTGGTTGAGATGGGAGGGGAGAAAGATTCATATCTTTGCGCGAAAGCGAATGCAATGGTATCGGATGGAATTTGAATTTGATACCATTTTCTTAAAAAGCTTCATCAGATTGTGACTTTTATCTGAATGGTATACTGGATGGTATACTGGCGTCAAACTTGTCCAGAATTGTCAGCTGTATATAGCCGCTTTCTCAGGTCAGTGGTTAAAAATCGCCACCGGCGAGAGAAACATGCATGTCTAAGAGAGGACCACCCTCCTTCGAAACTCGCGGATTGGCGCTACAGAATGCTGGTACCAAATAAAATGAACCACGGCACTTGATTTTCAACAGCAGCAACAACTAACTCGAAACATCAAACATAATCTCAAGCTGTTGACGTTCGACACTACTTTAAAGAAAAGGTTCATCATCCTCTGTCGACCGCAGTCTAAATCATGTTCTTCTTCTTGTTCTTGTAACGGCATTCACCCGGGGTGGGTTGAGCCGGCTCCAATATTGGAGTTTCGTGGGAATTTGGAATTCACAAGCGGTCCCCAACCCGCATGTATAGCACATGAGATTTCATTATAGTGGTGAAGGTTTCGTGCAGGACCATCCACACTTTTTGAAGGTCTGATTACAGAGACCTGCTGCACTACGTGCCACAAGGTCCCCAAACGACCCTCCGCAGGTTTTGAATTCAGAGTTTTCCTTCTCCTAGACCAGTTGCCATCCATGGCTATAGAACCTAGTCTGTCCTGCTCTTTACCCATAGCTGGAGGGAGAAGAAGAGGATTCACACCTTTCCCAAGGGTATTAGCACGTAAGTGAATGTAATGGATTTGACTGGAATTCAAACTCGGCTCTCCGATTCCTCAATCCAAGCCATTACTCCACCGTGCCTCCTCGAGATCATGGAGTCCACAACCTTACGTCAGATTCCCGGTCTTTCTTTGCTGTCCCCAAGTCCTGCCCACCAACACCTGCATCACTTGGGATGATGTCAGGGAATGATTATTTTCTGCCCCTGGTCAGGTTTGACGAAGGCTTCCAAAGACAGAGGAGACAACCTGATACTCGGCACGGTGGCAATGGCCAGCTAACTGAGCTCGACGAGATCGTATGAGAAAAGAAACACGGGGAAGACTGCCGTAGATTTGGTGAATGGTCGGATGGCGCTTCCAAGAGAGGTTCTGTGCTCTCATCAGAAGACGGGTGAGGGTTTCATCCAGACAAAAAGGTTAGGAAGGAAGCCCCTATCGAATAGTGGAAAGAGCGATAACAACTACGAGACTGGAGAAAACTATTTTCCTAAAAAACTGTTTTAATAAAAATGTCATGCAAATTTAAACCGACAGTAACATTGGCAGCTCAGTCAATGAATGTTTCCTTATAAGGAAACGGCGACTATTACCATTACAAAGTCCAATTTCCGCGCTGATAACTGTTAAGCGAATAATAAAAATCAGGAAAATTATCAGGAAGACCACTGCCAATTTAAATAAGTTTTCTCTGAAAATATTTTGTTGTAGTAAACTTTATTAGCTGGTCGCCCGGAATCTTATTTGGTAATGATTTTGTCGGGTTATCAATTTGTATCGTTATGCTTACATCAGTTTGCCAATTTGTTGCCTGGTGATGACTTTATCAAAGGATGTAGAAATCTCTTTCTTTTGGAGTCTGCTTCTTCTTTTTTATGGGTCAAGTCCCTTCAGGACATGGGCAATCATATTTCGTCGCAACTTCTATTTCTTTGCAACTTTTAGCAATTTTTTGCCTTTTTAATATCCTTCTCCATATTGTTCTACTCTCCATTTACATAATCTCGTTGAGTAGTGCCATATAGGAATAAAGTATCACTGCTGACACTTGAGTTTGAACACAGATCACCAGAGAGCAAACACAAGCGATCCCGTTTTGAATAAGTAGATCACGTGATTCCAAAAGAAATGTATATATGGGAATTAACTTGGCGTCTAATTGATCTCTATTTCTACTCTATCCTCTATTTCTCTACGGATCACCATTTCTATTCTATCCTCTATTACTCTACGGATCACCATTTCTATTCTATCCTCTATTACTATACGGATCACTATTTCTAAACTATCCTCTATTACTATGCGGATCGCTATTCTCTATACTATTCACTGTACTATTTCTTTATACTGATCACTATATTGATTACTATTCGGTGGTTACGAGTACTATGGAGCAAGTACTATTAGTGCGAGTGTTATCCGAAGGCGTCTGACACCGGCATTGTTCAATGGCGTTATTATAGTTGTATCTACGATTACAAAGTCTCTAGTACAACGAGCATTACGAAAGTGACAACCAGTATCCGTTGATATTACATAAATGCCAACGAGTGTTCGTTGGCATCACAAAAGGTAGGTTACTTACTGTTTCTCTCTGCTCCTCTTGCCTTCAATATGTCCTGTGTGTGTTAACTTCTCCAAGCCTTCTTTCTTTATATGCTCAAAAAAAAAATTCAATTTTCACTGATTTTAAGTATAATTGTCCTTTTTGTTTCTATTTTCTTTATCGCTGCTCACATGCTCCGTTATTTCAACATCCTTCTCTAGAATCACGTCTCGGTTGCCTCAAATCTTCTTTTCAACTGTGCAAATTGTTCAGCATCCATATTGATATTGCATAACAGTTCAGCACTCTTTTCTTTGTGCTTAACGATTTCTTTCTGATTATTAATAATTATACTATATTTTGGAAGGCACTTTCGTTATTTCCTATATGCATTTGGGATATTCTTTTGTCTACCCATGTTGTGATGAAGTTTTATTCGACACAGAAAGTACATATTTTTTACAATGATGTTCATCCTGTACAAGGACGGAGGACCATTCGTGGTAGAGGGTTACTGTATAAGAGGTGCACCTTATGCATTTATGTGTGAAAAATAACGGATAACATTTAGCTAGTGAGGAAGCATCTGGTTAGAAAAGTCAAATTACTGTTTTTAAACAGCAAATTTTCCATGATTTTTCTCGAACGATCATATCTGCACGAAGCGTATCTTAACGTAAAAGAATGACAACATATATTATGAAATGAACTAAAAGTCCGACAATTATTTTAATATATTTTCTGTTCGTACGTTATTTTTAAAGATACAAATATTTAAATGCTCTGTTCATAATAAACAATATTAACTACATTTGCCGGCCTGAATGTCCGAGAAATTTCATAGACAATGTGTGTCTTTCGATTTTGACTTGGCTAATCAGACGCTTCCTCTGTAGCTAAATGTTATAGGACATCAGGCCGTCTAGGATACAGGTTCGATTCCTGTCGGAGGGCACATATTTCAAATATTTATATCTATAAAAATAACGTATAAACAGAAAATATATTAAAATATCTGTCCGACTTAGTTCATTTCATTATATATATATAGATATATTTTAGTGTTTTCTTTTCTGGATTCTTATTCCGTTTTTACATTTTAATTATACTAATAATTTTGAAAAGGTACGCATATTTTTGAAATTTACATTCTCTTAAATTTATTTCCATGTCTATATAAAGAAAAGCATACATTAATATTAGAAATAAAGTAAATTTAAAAGAACTTTAACTTTATTAATATTTTTCCGAGATTTTATGGAAAATAATTTTATTCAATCTTTAAAAAATAAACTTCATGTTATTTTGGTTTGTAACTAACATAAAAAAGTAAATAATTTCAAACTAAGTATTATTAAAGCAAAACCTAAAACCAGCCTTATTTTTTCAAAAATTAATTTAAATAAAATATAGTTAAATTCGTAAAACAAATATTCAACACGATTAATGTTGACCGTAATTCATGTCTGTCTCTTAATTTTTATTTAACTAAAGTTTTTTTTCTCTTTTCAAATCCAAATCTAACTTGAAATTTAGACATAATAGATTTTCAAAACTAAATTATCAATGTATCTTCTACTCTCATTTAAAATAGTTAGTTATTAAGTTCATTTATGGAGAAATGTCTGCTTCTTTCATTTTTTTTTAAAAAAGAAAATAATTACTAATCTTTATTTACTTAAAAAAATCTAAATTTCCCTCCAAATAAAATAGTAAATAATTATTTCTCGAAAAAGTATGACTCGCCATATTTTTTTCTTAAAAAAATGATTAAATTAAATATGTTTAAATATGTCTTAATTTAAGTTTATTTACTTTTTTATTAATAATAATTTGAAGGAAAATTTATTGAACTTAGATAAATCGATTTGATTTGTTTCAAAACAACATTAACGGATTATTGATGTTAGTATTTAATTCGAAAAATGAAGTGTAATTGGGATGCTCAGCCCCTAAACCCCCTCCTGGAGTGTGGTGTTACTAGTGTGGTATTTTCCTAAATTTACTTTAAATTTATATTTATTTTGTAACTAAAAAAAAACAAAAAAATGAAGTTAATTTTTTAAAGATAGAATAAAAAATTATTATCCATAAGATGGTTAAAAAATCTTAATAAATTGTCAATAATAAACTATTATTCAGGGATCTTCCGTGCAACGACAGGTATTCCCGCTAGTATATATATATATATATATATATATATATGAAGAAATATAGTTTTAATGTGTGTTTTATGGGATAAAGTGCCCAATATCAGAGATAGAGCGTATGTAAATGTAAATATAAAATTGAACATTCAAGTCAACACTCAGAGGCGACAGGCTGTTTCATATTAGACACAATAGTAAGGCGGCCTGACGATTGCGTCTAGCATAAAACAGTCTGTCACCTCTGAGTGTTGACTTCAATGTTCACTTTTATATATATATATATATATATATATATATATATATATATATATATATATATATATATATATATATATATATATATATATATATTTCAGTAGTAGGGATATGTTTTCGCTTCTCCTCCCAGTGTCAGATAACACCGCTAAATATTTATAGGTTCATTTTTAACTTGTTATCAACTTAATAAAGTAGTGCTTATCGGAGTCGTATTAATGTTTACTTTAAAAATATAATTACTTCGTGGCAGATATGTGGTGACTCCCCTGCTGTGAAATCAACGAAGTGCTCTACTTTTGCCTGAGCTTTTAATTCGTTTATAGTCAGCAAGAATTCGCAATATCGTGCACTCATCGTTGAACGCTGTTTGTCTTTATCTCGATTTCAACCGAGCCGGATATTGTCCAAAGAGCTTTTGGATAATGTCCCGTTGTTTCAGTACTTCTTGTCAGTTCATTCCCAAATTAGACCTCCGCCCGTCAATTCTGTCAGTCAGTTATGTGCCATGCGTGATACACGCTTAGGCGATCATATAACTTTCGATACATGACTGACGAGGCAGATTTTTTCCCGCAGTAGGTTGCCATTTTTTTCTGCGGTAGACCAGTTGCCATCAAAGGCTATAGAACCCGGTCTGTCCTTTACCCATAGATGGTGGAGAGAAGAACAGAAAATGCATGGCGACCCCAAACTTTTTGGCTGTAGTGTATGCATATGTGCTCGTGTATATATAAGATAGAGAAAAAGATTGAATAAAAAAAATAATAAACCCTGATTTCATATTTTAAGTTCTTTTAAATGGTGTGGCGTCTAAGTGTAAAATCCATCCTATATTTGCAATATGGTGGACTCTCCCGTCGTATTCGATGTATGAGGGTCAAACAGCGCAGTTCCTAGGAACCAACAGCCCAGACACAGGACATATGATTTGATTATAGTGGTGAAGGCTTTGTGCAGAACCAACCACACTTTCCGAGGGGCCAAATACAGAGACATGGTGCACTACGTGCCACAACTTCCCCAAACGACCTTCCGCATCCGCGAATTCAGAGTTGTCCTTCTCCGAGACCAGTTGCCATGCAAGGCTATAGAACCCAGTCTTTCCTGCTATTTACCCACAACTGGAGGGAGAAGAAGAGGATTCATACCTTTCCTAAAAGTATTAGCACGTAAGTGAATGTAATGGATTCGACTGGAATTCGAACTCGGCTCTCCGATTTTTCAATTCGGGCTTGCAATAATTCTGAACTACTGACTATTCCTTTTCTCATTAATTTCCAATGCATTGCTCTAGTGAAACCTTCAATAATACACTTCTTCTATTTAAAAAAAAATGAGATATCATTTCATAATGTAACTAGTCATGGTTCTCCATAGCTTTCTTTAATCACTTACATCCATATCACGTTAAAATACCGGTCCTCGTACGATCACTGAAATTAAGCAACATCGAGCCTTGTCAGTATCTAGATGGGTGACCGCTTGGTAATACCAGCTATTGTAAGCTTGGATGTGCGGGTGGTGAAAATGATAACGGCTCAGAATTTGAAATCGGAGACCAGAGTTTCAATTCCAGTCTGGTTCGTCATATTCACTTATACTCTTATAAAAGGCATGAATCAACTTATTCTCCCTCCAGCTATAGGTTAATTAGTAAAACTTGTATCAGCAAATTATTATTATCTCCAAAAAATTCTTACACTCTTAAAATATTTTCTAGTTTTATATAATTCCTAAAAGGTTGATAAACCGTAAAAACACACCAGTCATCAATCCGTTCTTTATTATATGTGAATTACTATGACTATTATTCTTAAGATAGTGGAGTAGTTTCCTGTTGGCATCTCCATGGTTTTGACTTCAGAGTTTTTCTTCTCCTTAACTGGTTGCCCTAAAAAGCTAGATAGCACATCCCACTCTGCTATTTTACCCATGACTAGGAAGAGAAGAAATTCATGCTTTTCCCAATGGTATTCGTGTCCGTGCATTTGTGTCTGTTGATAAGAATGTTTTTATTTCTATATATTTCGCCTTTTCCGCCTTTTCACTTTCTCCGTTTCCTTTTCGGTTTTCTTCCTCCATTTTTTTTCTCACCCGTCTTCCATTTCCTTCTCACCTGATCATTTTTACCCAACGCTTGGCACCCCCTTCACCCCGGCCTCATGACCAGCTCACATCATTTGACGTCCATTTGAGATGAACTGAAATCTGTCATTTCGCTAGCCTCCGATTCAGTCGACATTTCCCAGTTCCACAATCACACTGACATTTTCCATTGTCATTTTATAAATCCTGGGATGTCATCTACTTTTCCATTCCCACAAAATAATCCGACTATCAACCCCTTTCATCTACCATTCTATTTCTTCACAGATATCATGGAATCTCTTTTAATCGTTTTAGAATAAGAACACGACCGAACACCAGTTAGCTGTTCTGCTCCCATTAAAACTCAAACCACTTAGAAAGTAGATAAAATTTATTATTAGTCAGTTAAGTGCCATCACATGATATACGCTTGGGCGATCAGGTCTCTTTCGATTCATGACTAGGCAGAAGATTTTCTCCAAGTAGGTTGCCATTTCTTTCTGCGGTAGACAATTTGCCAACCAAGGCTATAGAATACAGTCTATCTTACTATTCAACCCATAGCTAGGGGGGATAAGATATAGATTCATACCTTTCCCAAAGGTAGATGCGCGTAAATGAATGTAATTAACACGATTAGAATTCGAACTCGGCTCTTAAAATTCTCATTTCTAACTCTTAAATTAAACTCTTAAAACTACACTACAACGCACATCCTGTAAATAATTTAAATAGATTTTCTCTAATGAGTGAATCATTTGAAAAAAAAAAAAAAAAAAAACCACTTTTCACCCGCTCACAGGGGTGACTATTCATCATCTAGAAATATCACATCTCCAGTCTGATTTGAATTTAGAATTTTCCTTCTTCTAGACTGGTTGCCAACCAAGACTATAGCGCCCAGTCTGTTTTGGTATTCGACCCATGGATTCATACTTTTCCCAAAGGTATTTGCACGTAAGTGAATGCAATGAATCCGACTTTAACAGCAAAGGTTGCAATATGAGCACTGGTAAAAAAAAGTGGTTGCTGAAGACATTAGGTTTAAAATACCCAGAAAGGACACATGGAGAAGGGAATTTAGAGGAGATAACCGACATGTCACGTGATAAATATGGCAACAAAGACGCGGATGATAGACCGAACAATGTAAATAGAGTTGACTTTTATCTGTAAATCATTATTATCTCCAAAGAATATCTTACAATGTGAAAATATTTTTTGGCTTTGAATAACCTGCAATATTTCTGATTCTAAATATAATTTTCCTTTTTAATTTCCGTCCAGGGTATGACGATAAACTACATCTGTGTCCTGGGTAAGATGATAAACTACGTCCAACAGCAAGGCCACTGATCAGGAGGTTTTGAGGAGCGTGGAGCCACCTCTTAATTGCTGGTGTTCCCAGGTCCACCCTGACCCGGGGTGGTAGCACCTGTTAGGGTCCCTGCTATGGGCAAATAGTTAATCCCAAAACTGAATTAAAAAGCATTATGAAAGTGTAAAAATAGGTTTTAATACCAGAAATACTTTGTAAAAAAATTAAATAAATTTTTCAAGGAAAAAAAAACTATTACCAGCAATATATTTTTGAAAAAAAAAACTATTACCAGCAATACATTTTTTTAAAACAATATTACTAGCTACACATCTTTGAGGAAAAAATATTACCAGAAATAGATTTTTGACAAAACAAAAATATTACCAGGAAAAAAAATTAGTCGACATTAAATGACCCATTGAGGTATTGATATGCCGTAAAACAAACCAAACCAAACCTTTTTAATTCCATTTTTCTTAAAGCTTCGTTGTTGCTCTCATGCCTAATCTATGGTATTCTCGGCATCTGTAGAAACAAATCTCTGTTGCCTCATACCATTTGTTCATCTGTGAGGAAAGTGTCCAGTATCCTTGCCATTTAGGAGGATTAATATTACATCGCAATTCAGCACATTTTTCTTTGTTTGTAACGAAATTTTTCTGTTCCTTAATACACTGCTTAATTTTTGGACGGCACCTTTTGCTATTTCAGTGCGTCTTCGGATTTCGGTGTCATATTTTCCCTCCTCTGTTAAAACCCTTTCCTGATATTTAAACTTATCTGTATTTGTTTAATGTTCACATCTCCAATTCGTAGCACGCTTCTTAAGTTGTGAATCTAGCTGACATCAGTATATACGACTAAATTTTGAATCGAATTTTTTTCTCTTGTGATTAACGCAACAAATTTTAAAAGCAGCCCACAATTTCGAAAGAAGCAAAATTTTAAATTTACTAGCGCCGGGCTTTGTAAATAGCCCCAAATTCTAACCAATAAACGCTCTTTCTTTATATATTCAGTCTACTTCTAAGCATAGTAAATTCTAAAATAAGTTCATAGTGGGCTGCTGATATTTAAAAATGGTTAGAAATACTCACTTGGAAGACTGACACAACATAGTCTTTTTAATCCTCATTTTATCTATAGTTTTTTTTTTTGTTATAACCAATTTAAGCTTACTAAATGTAATAAACTGACATCTGTCATTTAAGTACTGTACGTGATACACGCTTGGGCGATTATGGCTCGTTTGATTCATAACTTACTAGGCAAAATATTTTCCCTGCAGTAGGCTGCCATTTCTTTCTGCGATAGACTGGAATTTGAACTCGGCTCTCTGAATTCTCATTCCGAACTTTTAAACATTACACCATAACGTACATTATGTAAATAATTTAAATTGAGTTTCTTTAATGAGTAAAATCATTTGAAAAACACCTTTGACCTGTTCACATGGGTGGATATTCCCCATCTAGCAATGTTACATCTTTAGATTGATTTGAAATTAGAGTTTTTCTTCTTCTAGGCTGGTTGCCAATCAAGGTTATAGAGCCCAGTCTGTCCTGTTAATCAACCCATTGATGATAGGAGAATAGATGTATTCATACCTTTCCCAAGGATACTTGCGCGTAAGTGAATGCAACTCATTTAAAAAAAAAAATGATTGAATCATTTATGTATGGAAAGGCGTGTCTGTTTATTAGTAGGATATCATTGCCCCGACCAGGCCTCGAAATGAATTGTCGCTCCTCTGACATCTGCACAGATTCAGTGTCGAATCAGTGTGCTTTGCCTAACTTTTTTTATATATCTCAACTACCTTCTTACATTCAGGCCAGACGTTCGAGTCACGACAAGTTTAAAGTGTTACTTATAATTTACTAGCAGTAGAGCCTGGCGTTGCCCGGGGATGTAACAGTAAGAGATAGATCAAGTATCGACCATCATAAAGACTGAAAAATAAAATTTACAAAGATTATTGTTTAAGGTTGACGGACACGCATTTCTTAATTAGTTTTTTTTTTTTTTTAAGAATTGATCAAACCCAAACTCAAACAAAAACATTGTTTTCAATCGTTATGAGTCTACCGATTGAATAGAATTTTATTATAAACAATTGTCTTGTAAATGGATTTTTTAAAGCATTCTGAATGTAAAAATAAAGAAAAAAGTTTGCAAGACAATAAGAAACACTACCTGCCAAAAAAAGTGAAGTTTTGTTGAAATCGGTTGAAAAATGTAGGAAATCCGATCCCACATATAAACGAACACACACACACACACACACACACAGACACAGACACACACACACACACACAACCTGGGTTTTATAATAAGTATAACTCGATATGAGTTGTCCCCCTTTCATTCTCGTGATGCCTCTTAATCGTGTTTTCAAATTGATTTTGTGCAAAAAATAATTGTGTTTTTCCAATTTTTGACGCTGTCAGAACCACTGTAAGGTAATTTTACGTAGTCCTGTGAAGTTTTGTTGAAATCGGTTGAAAAATGTAGGAAATCCGATCCAATATATAAACGTACAGACACACACACACACACACAACCTGGGTTTTATAATAAGTAAGATTTACTTGTTTCCGTACGATAGAATTCACGGAGAGAGAAACATAAAAAGAGGGAAGAACACTATTACAATGATTAATAAGCAATATTAACTTGTTAATGATAATATGTTTGGTGAAAGAGAATTTACGGATACAGAGAATTTAATGGACAAAGCAACATAGAGACAAAAACCACTCCATTGTTAATTATGATATATGCTAAATGAAATAGTTGGGAAAAGATAAAATAACCGTTGACTTTAAAGGTTCCAGTCGTGGTTTTGTAAAAAATAAATAAATAAATAAAATAAAATAAAATAAAATAAATAGCTATCTTTTACATAACATAATGTCTGCAAGAAGCAAGTAATGGAGAAAACAAAGAAGACGACTTTGGGCAAATAAGGAGATGATAAAGAAAAGGAGAGAAGAGGAAAATAAAGCTAGGGAGAAAAAGGAAAGATAAGAAAGAAGAAAAATGGGAGGAGGCCGATTGAAAGGAAAAAGGAAAAAAATGAGCAGGAAGGAAAGAAAAGTAAAGAAAAGAAAGAAAGAAATGAAAAAAGAAGAAAGAAAGAAAAAAGAAAGAAAGAAAGAAGGAAGGAAGGAAAGAAAAGACTAGAAAAGAATGGAGGAATAAAGGGAGGGAGGAAAGAAAGGAAACAAGAAAGGGGCAAAGAAAGAAAGAAAAAAGGAAGGAAGTCGAAGAAAAAACAACGGGGAATAAATGGAGGAAAGAAGGGATAAAGGAAATAAGGGAGGGACGAAGAAAGAAAAGAAAAAGAAAGAAAGAGAGAAAGAAAACAAACTAAAAGAACGGGGGAATAAAGGGAGAAAAGAAGATAGAAAGGAAACAATAAAGGGAGGTTGAGAAAGAAAGAAAAGAAAGAAAGAAAGAAAGAAAGAAAGAAAGAAAGAAAGATAGAATAGAACAGAGGGAGGAAGAGAGGAATATTTAGAAGAAAGAATGAAGGGAAAATAGAGGAAGAAAGGAAATAAGGAAGCAAGGAAGGAAGATGAAATAAAAAGCAGGAGTGAACGAAGTCAATGACTAATTTAAAAGTGACGGTAACAGTGAAAGAAGAGATATGTATATCACTGAATGTCCTTTATGCGAGATACTGTCTCTTATATTGGTTGTCTCTTTCATTAAATGGCGTCGGGTTAGCATAAACCGTGCTTGTGCATAGGTGTTGGTAGCTTTAAATAACGACCAGATGCGCTGGTTATAATGACAAGGTTTATGGCTTTGCTCCTGGTAACTCGAAACTATTTTCTCTTAGTTGACAAACGCATTGAATACTTTTGTCTCATGAATTCAAATGAACCCGTACAGAAGATGATAGTCCTTCATTATAGGTCGATTACAGACGGGAAATGGTACCATTGCAACTTTTTGGTCGACTAATCATAACCTCTAGTTTTCGTTTTTAGCTTTTAATTCTTGAGGTTTGTTTTGAATATAATGTTACTTAATCCAACGTTTTTGTTCGTTTTCGTGCACTGCTTCTTCGTGATCTATCCTCTTTTTTTTTCTTCTTTTCTTTTCCTTTTTATTGCTAAAACAGTTGTCTGCGTTTGTTTCCTTTTTGCATTTTTATTTGCATTTTTATTTTGGTAGTGCACACCATCAGGGTCCAGTTGCCATCGGGTCAAACCGTTTGGCCATTCTGCATATCGTATTTTCCGTGGGTGTTTGCTGCATGCAGATAGCCACTGATAGAGTTGCTAGGTCTAAAGACATTATAGCTTTTTAACAAATACTTTATTTCAAAATTTCAGATAAAACTACGAATAGGTGCTACATGATTGTAATGGACGAGGTTGTTGTTGCTCTACAGTTATTTTGAGAAACGAAAAAAAAAAGTAAAATGGCAAATACATAAAATAAATAAATATATACAAAAAATAACAAAATATTACAATAAAAAAATTTAAAAAGTGAAGATAATAAACAAAACAGAGAAAAATATAAAAACAATTGCAAATATTTATATGTATCATATTTATATTTATTGACCTACCCTCACCCCACCAAAAAAAAGGGGGGTGGAAGGGAAATGAGTGTACTCGTTCATTTGATTGAGGAGGAGTTGTTGGTTTCAATCTATAGGAATAATTGCTGAAATCCCCCCCTCCTGTCCAAATTTAGTGACAAATCATACAGATGCATGCTGGGATTTCTTCCTAAACAATAGAAATGGACCACTTCTCTGTCTCATCCGCCATCTTCTTGTTCTTGAGCGTAGACGCAGTCTCTGACTGTGTGCGCGACTTCTGTCGAACTCTCTGCTTTGGCAGAGAGGAACCCGGACTAAGCTATGCCGAAGGCAGAGTTTCATTCGGGGAAGTAGACAGACCCTGAACACGTTTATACGGGTTTTAAGGGAACATTTTTGGCCAAGCCTACGGGCTCGGAGAACCCACGGTAAACTCGGCCTTGTGCCACATACAACCCTCGTGGGGGGGGGGGTCTGTTAAATATAGCCATCTTCTTCTTCTTTCATGTCTTGAAGTCAGAATTCTACAATCCCTTGTTTGTATCCCTTTTGTGTATGAACACCATTCTTACATTGTGAACTTTTTACCTTATTACTGTTGATTTTCCTACTTTTGTCTTCCATGTATATTGATTGCTTAGTGTTATTTTACCTTACTCTTTTTCTTCCTTTGTCAATTCCGTTTGTTGAACATTTTTGTCGATTACAATTAACCATGGTCAATTACTCGAAAGGAAGAGTTACTACCTGCTTCAGTTGAGGTAGAAAGCTTTCAAAGTAAACGAACTCAAAAGAACGTGGATGAATTTTACATATACAGTGTAACCCGGATATAAGAGGGTTGTCGGGACCAGAGAAGAAGTCTCTTATATCCGGGTTTCTCTTATATCTGGGTTTAGTCTATTTTGTTTAGGTAAGTATGAGAACACTTTGGGACCAGAGAAAATCTCTCTTATATCCTGGTTTCTCTTATATCCGGGTCTCTTATATCCGGGTTACACTGTATATTTTTATATAGAGAATAACATAATTCCAGAAAAGAGATGGGTGTACGGGTATTTTGAAAATACTTCACGGAGTGACGACCGTGCCCTGCATAGTTACAGGCTACCCTTTGGCAAGGCATAGTACCCGATCAGCTACCCTTCCAGGGGTACAGCAAATTCTTAGTGCTGCAATATGGAGGTTTGGGAAGAGGTAGTGTAAGGGATCAACTGAGCCGGGGGGGGGTTCTGACATTGATACTGAACAGAGGAATCGTAGAATATCAACAATCAGGATCACTTAGCTCTACCAAGATTGTTACTGCAACGCATCCATAGGTGAGGTACTCATGGTTGTCTAATCAGCTAATGAAAGATTCGTTATGACTCAAGTCTCCAATTCAATCACTTTGACCTGCCAAATATAATGAACAATAAAACTAGAGCAACAGAGAGTCACGGGAACCCAAGCATGCAGAGCAACTGGGGGAGAAAAGAGAGAAATATACGTGCACAGATATCTGAAAATGAAGAAAAACATTTATAGGCTTTGCTATGCGCGTTGGGGTGTAATGTCGGCTCGGAGTGAGAACTCGGAGAGGCGAGTTCGAATTCCAGTCAAGAACTTTAGATTCTCTTATACACGATAACCCTTGGGAAAGGTATGAATTCATCTCTTCTTCCCCAGCTATGGATTGAATAGCAGGACAGACTGGATTCTTTAGCTTTGGTTGGCAACCAGTCTACCGTAGAAAGAAATGGTGACCTACTGCGGGAAAAATCTTCTGCCTCGTCAGTCATGTATCTTTCGATACATGATCGCCTAAGCGTGTGTCACGTATGGCACCTAACTGACTGTTTAGAAAGTATATTATTGGGTATGTGTTGCGCCACGAAGATGGCTGAAATTAAGAAGACGGTCCGCCGAGGAAAAACAATACTACATTCCAATGCAAAAGCTGAATGTTTATTAATTCGACCTTTCATATCCATGAACAGAACGGTACCTATCGGGTGTCCTGGTGGGGTAATCACCACAGATGTTTGCTAAAAGTTGTTCACGTGATTATTTTATAGTAAAAAACAGCTGTGTTTAATTTGTCTTTCATTTCAGACGCCGGAAATTGACAAACGAAACCGTAATAAAACTACAAGTATTATCAAAGAATTGGGTGCTATATTTGCCTTGTCAAAACAAAGCTAACGACCAGCCGTTATTATTACATCCTGTAGTCGATTATTGGTTACATGATAGCTTCTAAAGTAAAGCGTCACACCTTGTATTTCACTTTTACGGGGTCGGTAAAGTGTACTTCTTGGAAATAGACCTTGAGGCAACCAAACCAGATATCACTATCGTCTCCTCATCGACCTGGTATCAAGGGGCATAGAAATTGACAAGCTTAAGAAATACACCTACCCCCACCCCGGACTGAATTCGCCACGTTGTGGGACGTTTTAGGTCACTATTGTCTTAGTTATCGATTGGACTTTGGGTCCGTACTACCGAACTTAAAATCCTACATAGTCAGTTATGTGCCATGCGTGATACACGCGTAGGCGATCATGTATCTTTCCGTACATGACTGACGAGGCAGATTTTTCCCGCAGTAGGTTTCCATTTCAATCTACGGTAGACGGGTTGCCAACCAAGGTTAAAGAACCCAGTCTGTCTTGCTATTTACCCATAGCTGGGGGGAGGGAGAAGAAGAGGATTCATATCTTTCCCAAGGGTATTAGAACATAAGTGAATATAATGGATTCGACTGAAATTCGAACTCGGCTCTCCAATTCCTCAATCCGAGCCGTTATCCATTACTAGTATCCCTTCACAAGTCTGCGTTGCTTGAAACAACAAATATTCTATGAAAGGTGCCATCTGTCTGAGGACACACAACTTGCTGGAGAATATCCATGATGCGAGATATACGCAAAAGAAGAGAGATAGTAGTAGTAGTAGTAGTAGTAGTAGTAGTAGAAATTAACAGTTACAAGATATTATGGGAATTCTTAGTTCACACAGATCATGTCATTGTAGAACGAAAACCCGATCTCACTGTTGTAGATACACCCTTGGTCAAATAAAAACATTTCCGCCATTGTAGACCGGGTTTTGGAAGGCTACCAAGCATTATGGGCGCAACCCCCAAAATCTAGCTACCAGCTGACACCTTTTCTCTGACCTAGTTTTAACAACATGTAACACCAATACCTTCAAACTAATAACGTTTTATCATCACAAAGCAGAACCTGAGATATTTCCGGGCATGATGAACGGTTGTACTCTGAATGATGTTCCTTGCCTGAAACGTCTGTTGAAACTCAAACTCACTCCAGAACACGTGGAACTTATACACCCTTGTGCAAATTAATTGAAACAACCGCTTTAGTTTCCCTTCTTTCGCCATACAGTCAGTTATAAAACCCACTGGAGTGACAGGGTGTAATCGATTTCTATTTTTTCTCAGATTAGGTCATTTGCAGTGGGGTGCAGTAATATGAATCACATTTCGGGGTGTATGATGAAATTTGTTTGGCCTTGAAAAATATTGCGTCATCTGTGATTGCATCAGATTTTCATCACGCCTAGACACTATTGTCTCGACTGTCGATTAGTTGTCCTACGTCCATTGTCTGAAATGTCAAAAAATGTAACACTGCACGAACCCACTGGCAAGCCTTACCAGTGAGCAAATCAAAGTACTATAGACTGGCACGTAAACTTTCCTGATTTAAATCCAGTCGAGAATCTGTGTTCAATCTGCAAGGAACGACTACATGAAATGGTCATACGAAGTACTAACATGTGCACTGGGTCATGTTTCATTGAAAAAATACGAACAAAAAGTAAGTAATAACGGAATTCGTTTTGTTTCAATAAATTTGCACAAGGGTGTACAGAGAATAGCAAGTGTTAAATTATTGATTTTGCTGTTCCATAGAATGTACTTCCAAGAAACTAGCAACATAGTAAAATAACAAGGAACTGAAGATACTATGAAACATGAATGTATAACTAATTTTTGTAGTAATCTGTATGCCTGGAACATCACCTAAAAAACTGTAAATGCTCTTTGGGAAAATTGGAATTGAGGCCAAGATTGTAGACATCTGAAAAAGTGCCATTATTTACTGCGAGAAGTTTTTTTTTTTTTTTGAAAGAACATAATGGAGCCCTAGGACTGGTTGGAAAAGATTGCAGTAGACTAATTGAAGGGATTCCTGGAAGTCCATGCCTCAAGGAGATACAAAAAATTGTTCTGACAAGTACAGCCCACATTTTACGAAGAGCTTTATCTATGTAATTATTTTTTTTTTGTCATGATGCCATTTCTAACCTTAGGTCCCTGGGCGGGACCCGGAAAGAAATGTGTAAACGCCAGAAATCAAAGAAAATAAAATAAAAAAAAAAATAATAATAGCTTAAAGTGGAAATCTCAGAAATGTGGCACATGAAGACATCAGTAATTCCGGTTGTAGTTGGAGCACTAGAATTGATTGGAAATAGGTTCCGATAGACTCATTGAAGGGATTCCTGGTAGCCCATGCCTTAAAGAAACGTGGCTTCCCACTGTCTTTTCTACAAATATTTTCCTGGCAACTGTTCTGAAGAGCTTTTCCCCTGGTGCCCCGACTTGAATTTAAGCGTGCTACTAGATTAGAATCTAGGTCCCACCCTTTTACTGTTGAAATAGTTAAATGTAACCGCCACTTCTAATACAACAGCTTCGTTTCTTGTACTTCACGTCTGTGGAACTCCTTTCCGTTTACTTGATTCCCTGATAACTACAATCTTCAAAAATTTAAATCCAACGTCAATCGCCATCTTCTGTTGTCTTGATTCCCGTTCACCTTTTATCCTTTCTTCATTCCCCCTATAAACAGTTTTTTTTTTTTTGTTTTTTTTATCTCACATTCACTCTACGTAAACTCCAGCGAACCAGTGGCACTCCCGCCTTGCTTGGGGTGAAATGCTTAAAAAATTTAACCGTAGTTCTAGTTTAGCGACTAGGTCTCATTATTTTACTGTTGAAATTAGACGTAACCGTAAGTCCTATTCGAATAGTTTCTTCTCTCTTCTCGTTTGTGAAACTCTCTTACTTCTTGCTTTTCTGTCAACTACGATCTTCAGAAATTTAAATGCAACGTCAATCGACGTCTGTTTTCTTTAATTCTGTTCTTTGGTTGAACTTTCTCCCGAATAACGTTTCCTCATTTTCCTTCACTCTCAGTAACCAGTTGAGTCTGAGTGGCTTTATCGCCTTGTTTGGGGCGAAATGATTCCAAAATATAGATGCTTTCGTGAAGGGATAATATCGGATGCATCACTCACACTCAGCGAAATTTAATCAGCTTTTGTTCTTCATTCGACCCTCTTTTCTCGCTATATAATTGTGACATGCTAGTGTCAAGCTGAAAAAAAGTTTTTTTTTATTTTCAAAGTGAGAAAAAGGCATAAACAGGCGTGAACTGAATTCGAATATCATTCGCCGACCCTGCTTTCCGAGTCGCCATTTATTAAGAAAACTTGTCACTTAGCCATCAGAAGGTTTTTAGCGTCAGTTAAAAAAAAATAATTTAAAAAATAAAAATAAAATGCAAATCTGAAATGAAAGGATATAAAAATATCTCTACTTTGCCAGAGATTCGAGTAAGTTGTGGAATATTACAGTTGTACGAGTCATTATTGGAGCACTGGGAATGGCAAAAGAGTTTAGGAAAAAGATTGGAGGAGATGGAAATTAGAGAAAGAGCCTTGACCATCGAAATGTCAGCATTAGAAGTTACTGGAATACTGAGGAGACTTAGTGTCAATTACCCAGAACTTTATAATAAGCTAATAATTTACACACGCGCGCTAGGATGGGCTCTCAAGCCTTAAATGTCTACCTTCCTAAAGGAATCGGAGATCTGAGTTCGAATTCCGTGATAATACCCTTGGGAAAGCTATGAATACATCTTTTCCCCAGCTATGGGTAAAATAGCAAGGTAGACTGGGCCCTATAGTCTTGGATGGCAACCAGTCTATGAGTAGAAAAAACTCTGAATTTAAACCACCTGCTGACTTGTGGGTCCTACCACTTTAACTTTTGAGAGGAGGGACTGGTAATCTCAACATCCTTAGTGCAAAAGGAGCCGGCAAGCCATTGCACTATTCTGTCTTGAATGTCACCATGAACCGCTAACTGTATAAATGACGATGATGAAGATTATATATATATATATCATGACTTGTAAAACCTTGCCTCAAATCGTTTGCCAGGCAGGACCCAACCCACTTTGTTCCAGATTAATCCTGGTCCTTCCAAAAAACAAAAATAAATACGTGCGCGTATTTATATTTAAAGAAAACGTAAAACGCAGAAATGTTGGCCATGATTTGCAGTTTAACCTAAAAATAAAAATGGCTGACTCGTAAACATAAAAACATAGACAGTATATGAGCTGATTCACAAAAACGACTTTCATTTTCTCGAAACTTGTCCTATAATATTTGTTACATAAATATTTTATACATAAAATAGTAAGTTTTATGGGACA